AAACATGGCCTCGTATATAAGAAAAAAAAAAGTTAACTGTGTCTTGGTACAAACAGTTCCTTTGAAACTCAGGAACATGATTTTGATCTCAACTCAGAGGTTGAAAGCTGCTACTCCTGAGGGAATGATGGGTTCTAGTGCTTAGACTACACATTGGCAACTAACAAAAGAGGTGTACGGGACTCTGAGTCCTGCGTACCTTACAAATGTACTTTACAAAGCAACTGCACAGTCCACGAAAACCACAGCAGCAGTGTGTAACTGCTACAGATCCTGGCCACTGACTTACGTTTCTTTTGCAGTCCCGTGGGCAACGGCTGCCGTTCTTCAAAGTGGGGCCCTGGGAGTATGCGGAGAACTTCCTCGATACTGCGCCAGCCAGGCCGCGAGAGCAGCTGCGCCAGCCGCACGCTGAGAGGGGCATAACCACTGTACACATATGATATGTCCGTGGGATTCTGTTAAATAATTAAAGGGGAAAAAGTGTGTAGATACAGAGACATAGAGCCACTGAACAGCGGCCTTTTGGGTAACCCAAAATTATGTGATTTGGCTTTGAAGGCAGAAACACAAACTCCAGCAACGTCCTGCTCCGATCCACCCCAGCTTGGCCTGATTCTTAGCTGCCTGAGGTTCACTTTCAACTCAGATCTTGCAAAAGCCACTCAAAGCATCTCTAGGTACTGACCATGAAATGCTGTTATTTGCTTTGGCAAGAAACTTCTTGGAGGGAAAGCCGGCACTCTCTAGCTGAGCAACAACGTGCGTATCCCTTGAACTCAGTCATTCTACTTCCAGGCATTTCTCCTACAGAGGGGCTTGTCCACCAGAATAGACCAAAGCCCAGATGTATTAGCTGCAACTCTGTCTGTTCTAGCAAAAGACTGGAAACAACCTGAATTTCTATCAAGAGAAATCTGTTAATCATAAATTAAGGTTTATCTGCAAAACCACTATGTAGCAATTAAAAAAAAAACTTACAAAAAAGAATGAGGTAGATCACAGAGGGATCTTCAAGATATAGTATTAAGTGGTGGTTAGGGTGGGTGGAGAGAGGCAGGTCAGAACAGGGAAGAGAACTAGTATACTGTTTACCCTGTACAACATAGAAATTAAGAGTTTCTATATTCCACCCCTGGGGGGGGAGATAATCCGATTTTGCCACTGGTGGAGGAGACTTTTTAATTATTAGCTTTTGTTGCAGGAGGCAGCCTGATAAAGTTCCTATGAAAGTCTAAAAAAGAAAATAAGAAAAAGAAATTTAGAAAAACTGGACTCAACAATAAATGTAAGGCAAAGTACACTCTACTTTGGAAGTCAATGGTATAAAATATGCATCATTTATGTTAAAAGGTCTGCAGATTCACAGAATCTTCCTGGAAGGATAGATTAAAAAAACTGGTTACAGTGGTTCCTTCTGAGGGAAAACCATGCTGAGATGTGGAGGGAACCTGACTTTTCACTGTTTGCCTTATTTTTGTATGGCCGACATTTTTACCACACGTGCTGGACATTTTCCAGATTCTTCACCACCACCCCCGCCCCCCCTCCCCGTGCTCTGTGTCCAGGAGGCGAACCTGTAGGCTCTATGCCAATGTGCTCCCACGCCCTCTTTGGGTTTGGCCAATGGGAGGCACGAGATGGAACCTGGAGAGTGGGCAGCATGTGAGGTCAGGGGTTTACAGCCCCAGCTTCCTCTCTGTGACACTGCTGGAGACTGGCTGTGTCTCTCCACCAGAGGCCTCTCATCCCTCGTCTTGTCAGATGGCCTCTCCACACAGCTCTTCTCTTCAAGTTCTGGAACAGGTTTTTGCAACAGTTCCCTCTCCTTGCCCTCGGGCCCAGGCTGGTAAGGAATCCCCACTGCAGGCCTTTTGCCGGCTCCCACCCTGCCCACATCTTAAGAAACTCCCCTCAAACTCCCTGGCGTCAGAGCGCCCTTTGTTCCCTGCTGGGATTCTGGCAGATATGATACATGAATGCATTACTTTCTAAAAAACATTAGAAAACCATTCTAGAAAGGGCAAGGTGGATGTATAAATCAAGTAGCCTAGGTGGCCACGATAAACCGTTAACCAGTAGGTAAACTGAGTTGAAGTGGAGGGGTGTGTCTCACCTGTTCGTTCACATCATCCATCCAGAGGCGTAGTGTTTTTCGGATTGTTGGGTAATTGTTTCTGCCCCCCATCTGTGGTTTCAGCAGGCCAGCCTTCTCTAGGTTGTACAAGGTCAATATGTGCTCATAGCCGTATGTCTGCAAGACAAGGCGTTCGGATTGATGTCAGATTAGGAAAAGAGTTTCTGCCACTTTCTAAAAAGAGCACTTCCAACAAATGGATTTAGTATGTACTGTGGGGCATGTTACCCAAATTCACGGAAGGACTGTCTAGGGGCACAGGGGCAGCGTGGAGGATGAGACCTGCCTGCCCATTACAACTAACCCAGCTCACTGCTTCAAAGACTGATTTACAGTTTTTACTTTATTTTTTTTTAAGATTTTATTTATTTGTCAGAGAGAGAGAGCACAAGCAGGGGGAGAGGCAGAGGGAGAAGCAGGCTCCCCCCTGAGCAAGAAGCCCGATGTGGGGCTCAATTCCAGGGCCCTGGGATCATGACCTGAGCCGAAGGCAGCTGCTTAACAGACTGAGCCAGCCAGGCTCCCCTACAGTTTTTACTTTAAAGTCAGAATTTATGGACCCAACTTAAGTGAGCATCAAATAAATTAATATATATTTTATATGGGATATAATTTGATACTTAAAAAAAAAGAATGAGGCAGATCTATACATTCCGATAAGAAAGATCTGGATATATTCTTTTTTTTTTTTTTTTAAGTATTTATCTGAAAGAGAGAGAGGGTATGTGTGTGTGCACGCGAGCAGGGGAAGCAGCAGAGGGAGAGGGAGCATCTCAAGCAGACTCCCCACTGAGTATGGAGCCCCACGTGGGGCTCCATCTCACGAACCTGAGATCACACCCTGAGCTGAAACCAAGAGCTGGATGCTCAACCGGCTACACCACCCAGGCACCCCTGGATATACTCTTAAGGACAAAAAGTATAGTAATAGAATACTTTATACAGTAGGATTTTATTTCTATTTTTAAAAAGATACAGTAGGGGCTCCTGGGTGGCTCAGCTGGTTGGGCAACTGCCTTCAGCTCAGGTCATGATCCTGGGGTCCTGCGATCGGGCCCCGCATCGGGCTCCCTGCTCCTCAGGGAGCCTTTTTCTCCCTTTTCCTCTGCCTGCTGCTCCCCCTGCTTGTGCTCTCTCTCTAATAAATATTTTAAAATCTTTAAAAAAATAAATAAAAATAAAAAGATACAGTAAATAATAATAGTAATAGCCAACACTTACATAACACTTTCTGGGGGAGGGGGGGCAGTGTTCTGTTGCAAGCCTGTCACACGTGCATTAACTCAGTCTCTTTATTCTAACCCAGCGTGCTAGGTGGTATTACTATCTCCATTTTACAGAGAAGTTTAAATAACTTGCCCAAGGTCATGCAGCTACTTAGTAACAGAGCTGGGACATGGATCCAGCCAGTCTTACCCCACAGTCTGTGAGTGTGAATATTCTTTGTCTGTAAATGCAAACAAGGGAGTCTGGAAGCAGACCAAACTGTTGCCATTGGTCCTATTTGGGGAGGGCGATGGGGGTGTGAGTGAGGTGCAGGAAGGATCACATGTTGCTCCAGATGCTTCGCCTTATTTGAATTTTATACGATGAGAATGCATGTGTTACCTATGTAATTTTTTTAAAATACCAAAAAAAAAATTTGAGCATTTAGTTTTAATAACAATGTACTTAACTATGGCTGGTGGTAGCAAGTAAATACTACCTGAGACATTTTCAAACAGAGGAGAGAATTTTTTAAATAATGGTGGCCTTTTCCTAATGGTGAAGTAAAACAAGCTTAATTTATGTACGTCTGCTAAGGGATTATCATCAGAAAATTTGCAAAAAGGTCCCTTCCTCCATCAAATGCAATCTGGTTAAGAGCAAGGGCACCAGACCCCAGTTCCCTGGGTTTTGGCACTGGCTCTGCCACTCACTAGCCAGGTGACCAGGGGCAAGTTACAAAACGACCTTGTGCCTCAGTTTTTTCATCCATAAAATAGGGATGATAACAGTATCTAATTCACAGGGCTGTAGTGAGGATTAAACAAAAGAATACATTAAAGCTCTTTCACTAGAGCCTGGTACATAGTAAATGCTCAATAAACATTAACTATTATTATGCAACCACAGTAAACAGTGATGGATACCAAGGACAACCCCCTCTAGGTGTTAAAATTTAAAAGACAGTGGAAACAATACACGAAAATAGGAGCTTTAAACTGTACTTTTTTTTAAAAGATATTTCCTCCTTTGGTAAATTAGTAATTTGAAATCTACTGACCTGGAGAATTTCTCTTTTGTAATAATCCAGAACTTTTTGTTTGAGTCCACTATTGCACACGGACTGGAGGCAAACCAACCTTAACACCTTGATCAGCGGGTGCTTTTGGGCAATACAGTCTTCAATGTAACTATTGACCTGGAAACAAAATATATAGGTATGTATTCCAGCATCCAGTTTGGGGGCCTAACAAACTTGGTATTTACGATTATTTTTCAAAGTGGGGGACACACTCAGACAATGCAACCGCCTGTCTGAACACAGCAGACAGCCTTCTGAGAGGTTCTTGAATGTCTGGGGCATCCGTGACCATGTCTGTCTCAATAATAGAAGCGATTTATTGGCCGCAAAGTAATAGGAACTTTCTTGGGAAATAGATTTTCTAGAAAATAGGAATTTCCAGAAATTGCATAATTTTAAATGTATTATTAGAGGTGGATATTTACAGGAATTATATGAGCAGGTCCCTCAGAAAGCAAATATCTTCATTTATCTACGACAGGCCTTAAAGATGGTTGGTTTCAGGGGCTGGAGAGCAATGCTAACTACCCATGACTTGGAGAAATCTGGACTTCCACATTTTGCACTTGCTCTTAAAAATGCCTCGGCAAGGCATGGGAATCAACACGGTTGCTTTTCTAGCTATAATCTGACGTTTGACAAATCACCAGTGATTTGCTAGTTTTACTGTTCACATACCTTATCAGTGTCTATTCCAGACATAAACTCCTGCTCCACTGTTAGTTTATCAAAGAAGTCTTCAGAAGCTAAAATGTAATTAGCAAATTTGCAACTTAGAAATTAAATAAATGTTGATTTGAGCAGTGTGCTTTTCTACACAGAAGATAATTAAGAAACAAGACGCACAAAAACGCAAGCAAGCAAAAGGCTCAAACTGTCATCTGAAAACAATCTTCTAAAACATGGAAAACCCTACAACCCTGTGCTCCTAAATTACATCGACATGCAGCTGGCCACTGTACCCCTTTGCTGTCCTTAGGACTCAACACAGATCCCAAGAATTTAGCCTTGGTACCAGGGAAAGCTAATCTCCCTAGCACTTCACTATCATCATCAAATTCAACCCCATTTTAACTGCTTCCTATTAACAGGAAAACAAAGGACTGATTTTCCAACACCATGTTTTACTTCAGATTCAAAGTAGACTTCATAATACACGGCACCCATGTTTTATGAATAAATTCGTCTTTGATTTAATACACATCTTCTGAGCTCTTTCAAAATACTCAACACATGATCTCTCTACCAATTCTGCAGGAAGTTTTCAAGGGAAAAACAAAAACAAAAGCAGAAACATCACATTGCTCTGATGAACCCTTAATAAGGGGAAAAAACTAGATAAAAAAAGAGCCTCATTAGGGTGGCAAACTTACAGAAGAGTTTTTTTTCTCTTATCACTATTCCAAATATCTTGTCTTAGGATTATATTAATAACGGGGAAAAACTGAGTTAACCACAAATGAAACACACTTAACTATGAACATGCATGCACTTAATTAACACAGAATGACAAACAATGTTCAAATAGAGCTGTCTTTCCCAAGGAGGTATCATGGTGCCCGTGACCCTGGCATCAGAGTATGCATGCAAGTCAGTCCCGATGAAAATCATCACTCCAAAGGATACTCACTGGTAACATCTTTGATTAACTCAGCAATCGAGGTGTGGTTTGCAAGTGAGCCTCTTGCTGCCTGCATGTGGGGCAGCTGGGAAACAAACTGCTTGATCTCCCCAACCGTCTTAGCATTGTGCCTTTCCTGAAATGGGGGAAATGGCAGACCCATCAAGCAGGGGAGATATTTTATTTATTAATTTATTTTTAGAATTATTCTGCTTCTTTTTCAAGATATTATTTATTTATTTGAGAGAGAGCGAGAGTGAGCACGAGCAGGGCAGAGGGGCAGAGGGAGAGGGAGAAGCAGGCTCCCCAATGAGCCGGGAGCCCAGCGCGGGGTTCGATCCCGGAACTCCGGGACCACGATCTGAGCCGAAGGCAGACGCTCAACTGACTGAGCCACCCAGGTGCCCCGAAGGTATTTTATTTTTAAGTGCTCTGCTCTGTGTGTTGCTCACAGGATGTATAATTTATATCAAAGTAGAAAAAAGAATGGAATACAAATAAATCAGGCCAAACCCAGCTCCGCCATTACAAGAAAAACAGAGAAGATGAGTTCATGGTGCCTGATTACTGTGTTAGTTCTTCAGAGAGCAAACATATGAGGTTTTCTCCTCCTATGCCCGGGTTCCTATCGTGATTAGTATTTGGGGGCATCTGAGTATTTGTGGGGGCACTATTAGGTTACCCACAAATACTTCTGAATAAAAAACAAAAACATTATGTTAAGAGGGAAATGTAAACAGCAAAAAGTGTCCTCTATAATAAAAAAAAAAACAACAACGCATTCTTACTGCTGAATCTCAATCTTGAATATCGTCCACAAAGTGAACCTCGCTTAGTGATGGGATTTTTTTTTTTTTTTTTTTTTGCAAAACTGAATCATGTAAACCAAATGTAACTTCAGAAATGTGAAAATCAATGAATGAATATAATCCCTCAGAAAGATGAAATCTAGAAATACATACTCGGTGCAACATTCGTTTTCAAAAATTCCCCCAGTTTACGTTTCCAAAGTCTAAACATTCAGAGTTTATCATCTTACTGAATTTTCCTGTTTCCAAAATGAGCTCACCCAAGAGTAAATGGGCATCCAGGCAAGAGGAGGCAGGAGGTGATAATGAAGCGCCTAAATTTAGAGCTTTCACCCAAAACCGCAAGTTCTATTCTAGAGGATCTTTTTTTTTTTTTTT